TATTAGCATAATAACGAACACCTACATAATTTTATTCGCTTGTCTCAGACTGTATACTAAACTTTCAAATACAGTCTTCTGTATCTTACGTACTTAATCGTATGGGTTCTATTTTCTAACTACTTTTTTATGATGAGAGTCAAGACTGTTAAGAAAAAAGCACTGATCAGAAAAGAAAAAAATACTTTTTTGACATTTTTATTTTTCCTTTCCTACACTGCTGTACAAAATGTATTCTCTATTTAATCAATTTAATAAAGTTTATTCTTTATTTTGATAACATAAAAGCTGAAAGGATAAAGCACATTAAGTCCTTTGGCTAAAGCCTTTGTGCGTGTGTGTCTGTGTACAAACAGAAATGAGACCAGAGTAACTACAAGGAAGTCTCCTGGAGAATAACCAATTTACCCCTGTTTTTATTCTCTAATCTACAAGGAAAAACAGAAGAACCTGTCTAAAAGGCTCCTAATAAAGCAACCAACAGTCTCCTAATAGGGAAATTAGACAGTGCTATACTTACTCTGTGATGCCCTACAACTATTCCTACTTTGTGGGCTATTTATTTGCTTTTTCTCTTCCTGAACTCCTTCTGTGTTTCTGTGGCATGAAAGGAACCCATTGACAATGAATGATGTTTATTTAAAATAAAACCTTTCTAGAGAGTCATCCTAGATAATCTGAGGATACAGACTGAACCTAAAAGGCATGGCTTCTACGTGGAAAGCAGGGCTGAGTCTGCTCCGTGAATTCATATTCTCCAGCCCCTCTTGATGGGCTTGCAGCTGCAGCCATTTATGCGCGGGCTTTTTCACAGATGTAGACAGAGAAAGCTCCATGGTGTTTGTCTTTTTGTTGCTGGATTTGTATTCTTTAATATAAAAAAAGTGGCAACTTTGTAAAAAGTTCTCAGTTTTGTTAGAGCAACTTGTGAATATCCTTGGTAGTATGCATTGTTGAGAAGTCCATGACTTTTTTAAATCTAAGATGGCAAAGTTGGCAGAAACTATACTTAAATAACAGAAGGTGATCATTTGCATTTCAAAATTTATCTATCTTGCTTTTTCCCCTCAATTAGACCAAAACATGTTGATTCACAGGTTTCTGTGTGTGTGTTTTTTCTTTTTCAAACTTATTTATAGAGCAGAATAATGGCCCCCCTGCCAGTTTGGCATTTGCTCAAGTTTCTGTCCATGTAAATCGAATCTGTTACTGGAAATTTTTCTCAAAATATAAAGGCACATCATCCACAAGATAAAAAGATACATCGCTGGTATTATAAAGTACAGGGCAGGTGGATAATGTTTTTAGGACAAATAAGTGATAAGAGTCCCAGGAGGGAGGAGGGTAGGGGTAGAGGTTGCATGCTGTTTAAACAGACGTGAATCGTTCTTATCGCAATCTTGTGACAACTTTACTTTCTAACCAAACATCAGCTGCTTAGCACACTTTACAGTTACTTGAACAATAATACTAAGGTTAGAATTGGGAAGGGGGAAGAGAAGTAATTCAATCCTTAGTGTTTCCAAAAGTAGATCAAAAATAGCTGAATACTTTATGTCCTCATGTACTTACTGACTTGTGACTTTCACAACATTAAAATATTAACATACTGTCATATTGTCATTGCTCTCATCCTTGAGAAGAAGGGGAAAAGCTTACTTGGAGTGCTACTGATAACAGTACTGATATCTAGTTCTGAGATAAACAGCAATTTACAAATTTTTGTTCCAATTCACCTTGTATTATTAGCACAAAGACTGAAGTGAGTTCTGTATCACTGTAAGTTTTAAGATCATCTAAACTAAAACATTAGCATTACTTTTCTGTTAAGGCCATTGATTCTGTTTTACCTTATTACTAAATTTAATATGCCCAAAGATTGAAGTAACTTTCACATTGTTCAATGAATGCCGTAATTCTGTAACACTTTTGCAATTCACGAAGCTTGAAAGTACAATTCTTTTATGCAAATAATTACAACAAAGCCCCTCTTCAGACACTAGTGAAGGACAACCTCGAAGAGGACAGCAAAAATCCATTAATGGTAGACTGCCACCTGCTGGTAAACTATGGGAATTGTAATTTCTAAGAAAAGGCTTAAAAATTAGAACTTGGAAACTTATCTGTATTAAGTGCAATATTTGAGTACATTAATCTGAAAGTATGTACCTGTTGATTAATGTAATATGATTTGTTCCACATATATTAAAGCTCTCAGGATGCCAAGATGCTATGGATATTAAAGTAAGCATGAGTGCAAAAGAAAAATAATCTGCTAGAATGCCAAAGCACGAGCTTACAGAGAGTTTTCAGTAACAAAGGAACAATAGGAGCCAGCAGGTGGCATGGTGGTTAGGTGCTGGACACCCACATGGCCAACCACGGTTGAGTCGTGAACCCAGCGGCTTGAAATACACCAGGCATGTGTGCATGCATGCCCAAAATCCTGAGAAGAGAATAGAGGAAAAGGAATTGCAGCATGGTTATCCTCCTGGGGGAGGTGATTTCTCACTTTCTCTCTCTGTGTCTCTCCCACAAGCACACACTCCCTATAACAAAAAAGCTCTCTCTCTAAAAAAGAAAAGAAAAGAAAAGGACAATACAATAAAAATAGGAAATAGGGACCAGCAGTTAGCATAATGGCTATGTCACTGGACTCCCATGTAGTCGACCGCGGTTCACATCCCAGACTCGGTGGCTTAAAACTCACGCTGGGCACATGTGCTTGTGTGCCCAAGATCCCTAGAGGAGAATGGAGGAGAAGGGATTGTGGTGTGGCCATCCCCTCTTGGGGGGGTGGGGGGATTTCTCGCTTTCTATCTCTCTGTCTGTCTGTCTGGCGAGGGCAAATGCCATATAGCAAAAACCTCTCAAAAAAAAAAAAAAAAAAAAAAAAAAAAAAAAAAAAACCAAAGGAAATAGTTATAAACCCTAAGCAACATCCCATAAATGTTTGGTTTTGTTGTACATTTTACACTGTACTTCACTTCAAAATGTAAGAGGCTTCATCCAAAATAACTCTACAATTTAATTTTAATCCTAAAAATCTCCAAATTCATTATAATTAACATATTTATATATGTTGGTAACTAAAATATTATTTGCTATCAAATTAGAAAGAGAGGGAAGAAATTTATTTTAAAAACCATGTAACTATAATAAAGTGATCTCACTATGAAATTTTTTTGTTATCTCATTAAATCCAGAAGTAGTTTCAAAAAATAGCATCGCATTACCTATTTGAGAAAAAAACAAAAGAATGCAAACATACTCTATTGTCTATAGGAGGAAATAGATAAAACTGAATTGGAGGAGAAGAATAAGGGAAAAAAAGAATAGAATAGTAAGAAGAAAATCTAAATAATTGTGTTCAGGAAAGTTCCAGGGCATTTGCAATCCCCCCCCAGAAGTAATTTTTAACAATGAAGGTTATAATTAAAAAATAATATAGATCTTTCAATACTAAGTATAATCATTTCCCCATTATGTCAGGAAACAAGGTTAGCATCAATGCACTGCTTAGTTAGTAAGCATTAAACACTATACTGACCAACAACTAAACGGATCATGCCAACATAATCAGCAAGAAACTCTTTTGAAGACCAGCAGGGTAACACGTGAGGCAACTAATTGCCAGGCAAAAAGTGATCTAACTTTGAGTTCCAATGATGACACTAGTGGCATGGGAAACTAACTCAAGTCTAAGACATGGTTAAGCTACCTGTAATTGTCATTAAAGAATCTAACAGCCACAGAAATAAATCTTGAATTAAAAATATTTATAGGGGACCAGCAGGTGGCATGGTGGTTAAGGCGCTGGACATTCCCATATAGCCGATCACAGTTCGAGTCCCAAACCTGGCAGCTTGCTTTCTCACTTTCTCTCTCTCTCTGTGTCTTTCTCTGGTCAAATTAAATAACATAAAATCAATAATTTTATATACACACACACACACACAATACAGCAAGGACAAGAGAAGAGAAACCTATTATGCCAAGTATTTGACTAAGTAGGTTATTTTAAAACAAGAAAAACATGTTTCCTAAATTTTCTCAAATACAGAAAGAACTCTCAAAAATTTCTCCTAAACTTTGGCCAGTTGCCTTGACACTGAAATCACATTTCATTTTTTAAAAATCTGTATTTAACCCATTTTTTTCTTGAGGTTTTTGCTTTAGGGCCTGTGCACTCACCAGAGAGAGGCAGAGAGAGAATGATAAAGAGGGAAAGTGAGAAATCACCCTCCAGAGGAGATGGCATACTCTAATCCCTTCACCTTCCCTCCTCTCAGGACTTGGGCATGCACACACAGCCAGGTGTGGTTTTCAAGCTGCCAAATCTGGGATTCAAACAGTGGAGTCAGCTATGTGGGATCCAGCACCTTAACCACCATGCCATCTGCTGGCCACTACCTTCTAGATTTTTTTTTTTTTTGGTAAGTTTTTGCCATAGAGTGTGCTTGTTGGAGAAAGTCAGTAAGAAGGAAAATGAAAAATCACCCCCCAAGGCAGACAGCCACACTGCAATCCCTTCTGCTCTATTCTCTTGGGATTTGGGGTACACATACACACATGCTTGGCGTGAGTTTCAGGCCTCTAGATCTGGGACTCAAACCCAGTCGTCCAATGCCTCAACCACCACGCCACCCACCTGGCTCCACCTTCTGTATCTTAATAAAAACCATCCATTTAAAGAGACCCAGGACATTTAGAGGTTTTTTTAAAACACTTAGTTAAGACATATTTAAGAGTTCATTGCCAGTTCTAAGAAAAGTATAAACTCATTTAACAATAGTGAGTACACACACACACACACACACACACACACTAACACCTCCAGGTATAAATGGCTTTAGCCCCAAATTTCTCTTTTGAGGGATTAAAAAGATAACCAAATCAAACACAGATGTGAACCGCTAGTGAAAAATACGACTTGTATAAAGAAATGAGAGATGCTGATCCACTTTTTCAAGTGCAACATTTTAGGAGATTGCTCTAACCTGGGGCACAGTACATTCTCTCTATGGCATCGCTGTCACAGGAATCTTCAACCTCACTCCACCTGCTAAAATACGTTAGCTGAATGTGTCCTAAAAACAAAACGACAGGAGAAATCAAAACATTTTTCTCTTCCATTTTCTGCAGAAGTGAACTGTAATTACTCCTTTTGTAGCTAAAAACAGTATCATTAAGAATAATGGCATCATTAAGTACTAGAAGCTATTACTGGGGGTGAATTTGCTGCACTGATAATGAAGCTCTAGACAGGAAATGAAGATACTAATTACAAGATAAAACGCCTACTCAGTTAATTGGAAGCAACAGCGAATAAAAAGAAATGCATTTGCAAAAGTTCCTGACCTCTATCATTCAATAAGATGTTGTTTGGGTTCAAATCGCGGCACACAATTCCCTCTCTATGTAAAGCATCGAGGGCTACCACCATTTCAGCTGCCCATCTTTGAATGCAGTCCTCTGGGATGTAAAACCTGGAGCTGAGTGCTAATTTTTTATCAAGGTCCTCAAAAATCTGATGTATTTCCTTGTCTCCTTCTAATGCTAACCCGCTTTCTCCCTTAGTCTCAGAGTCCCTCTGGAATAAAGAAGTCAGTTCCTCTTTAGCCAAATCATCAGTCTGATCTGTAAATAGCAATACTTCGTCTGTTTTTAAAGTGTCTGTGTTTGCATTATGTTCATTAGCACCTGAGAGTGGGTTAGAAATATGAAACAAGCTTTCCTCTGTGTTGTCGGCAGTTACTGTCGACTCAACCACTCCAAGTCCTTGGAACTTGGGATCTGAGCTGTGTAACAAAGACATGTCTCCTAAACTGCTATGATCGACAGCTGCTACAAATAACATCCCAAGGTCCTCCTGTGCATAGTGTTTCTCAGTTATACTGTGGGATTGGGGAGCAGAGAGATCTCTCAATTCCTCTGTGCCCTCTTCTTCATGGGCTTGGCGTTGTTGGGTACTAAGCCGGAGGCATAGGACATCGGGGGCTTCCAAAAGTTTACTTTCTCTTATGCCTATATTAGTCTGGGTAAACTTAGAAGGTCCCACAGCTGCAGCTTCTTTTGTTGGCTCCAATTCCCCAGGTAGGTTTACAAGAAGATCAGGCCTTCTTTCATCAGTACCACTGACATCATCAAAAGCAGCATCTTTAAATGAAATAATGGGGACTGAGTCATCTGAGGCCCTGCTAATGGTGTCCTGAGCTTTGAACTCTACCTTGTTTTCACTAAAACCCCTGGAAGTGTCTTCATCTGGAAGAGTAAAGAAAGGTTTCAAAGGTTCTGATTTTAGACTATACAATTTTTCTCCGAAATCAAGTCCCAGGAGTTCACTTGTGCTATCCTTACTATCTATCCTAAAGAATTCCATGGGGCTGTTTTTCGATCTACTCAGGGAATCTGATGTTCTTGGAGAACTAACTGCTTCTGGGTCGTCATCTCTGGGGAAGGATTTCAGCTCCTGGGCTAGGGACGGTGTGCCAGGGCTGCCCCTGTCAGCAGCAAGGGGTGCTGGGAAGGTTTTAACAGCTTTGGTATCAACACCCTCTCTTCACTCTTCATGAAGGGTTCCTCGTTCAAAGACCCTGGGTCAATCTTTTCTTGCCCGTATTCATTACATAATGTTAAATAACTAGTAGTGCACTCTTCCTTTGAACTGGAACCAGAATCTGGCCATTTCGGAGAGCTATCCTGGCCATCATCTTCCTGGTTGCTATCATCTTGAGAACTTGGAGTAAGACTGGTCTTCAAAGGCAAAACTTTCAGCATGCTTCCCCCGTCACTTCCTCTGGATTCAAAGCTGCTGCTGTCCTGAGAGCTAGAAGCTGGCTGTTGCAGATGATCTCTCCTAAGCGTAGGTTTTTTCACCTCTTTGATGTCAAAGCTCTCTTCGGGACTTCTGTTTAAAAATTTACTGATATATGACCAGAGTTTGCCACCTATGAACAAGTATAACCAAAAAGGAAAAAAAATTAAGATTCCTGAATTAATACTTATTTAAGCCATTAGAAAAACAAAAGTATTCAAATAATAAAAATAAAATCAGCAATGCCTATTAATATCAAGTGAGCTGTAAGACAAGCATATTTAAGACAAGCATTTTTGTTATTGCTGACTGGTTTCAAGCATATCTCCTAATATCAATTATTTTTAAAATGACAATAATTTCTTTCTTTGAAGGAAATTTACTCATAACAAATACTCACATAAAATCACAGCTAAAATTCTGCTTTAAAGTATGATTTAGTCTTAGAAACAGCTGACTATATTCTGATATATTTACATAATACTTTCTCAAGCATGGCCCCTTGGTCAAGTGGAATTACATAAATGAGTACTGCTTAAAATAGTATACCACAGGGGCCAGCAGAAGGCATAATGATGACATCACTGGACTCTCACTAAGTTGATTGTGGTTCAAGTCCTGACCCAGCAGCCTAAAACTCACAATGGGCATGTGTGTGTAAATGCCCAAAATCCCAAAAGGAGAATGGAGGAGAAGGGAGGGATTGTGGTCTGGTCAATCTCCCTGGGTGATTTTTCACTTTCTGTCTCTCCAGTGAGCACACATGCCCTATAGCAAAAATCTCTCTTTTTAAAAAAAAAAAGCTGCATACAGCAATGGCGGGGAGGAAATTGACAAATGTTACTCCATTTTGAAAATACCTAGTCCATGACTAGAGGAGAAATTTGGCATCTGGTATAATTATGCTGTTATAAATGACATATTAATATTTTGTCCACTTATGCCCCTCTATACATTTCATATAGTCAATATGACCAAGTAAGTCTACTGAGGAAGATTAATTAGACAATCATTAATGAGGCAAGCTACTATAATTCATATTCTATATCCTAATATGTATTTATAAAACTAAGCTAAACTAAAATAATAAAAATCACTTTCATGTAAATCATAGAAACCAAATAAACATGAAATAATCTAATGTTTTACCAGAAATACTTGAATACAGTTATTATTTCACCATATTTTTCTTTGTTTTATGTTAACCTTTAAAACCTCAACACTGGGGACCAGCAGGTAGCATAGCAGTTACATCGCTGGACTCCCACCTGGCTGACCATGGTTCCAGTCCGAGATCTAGTGGCTTGAAACTCATGCTGTATGTATGTGTGCCCAAGATCGCAGATGGAGGAGAAGGGACTGTCGAATGGCCATCCTCCTGGGGGGTGATTTCTCACTTTCACTCTCACTGTCTATGTCTCTCTCTCTCTGGCAAGTGCATGTGCCCTAAGACAAGAACTCTTTAAAAAACAAACAAACAAAAAACCCGCAACCCTTTTGCTAACTATAGTCTTTACATTTA